CTGCGTTACGGCCTGCGGCTTTCTAACCGCAGTTCGATCATCGCTTATATACACCTCAAGAAAATTCAAAAGTCAACACAACTTCTCATTATTTAAAAATCAGAACAAAAGTAACCTAGAAGCTATTTCAAAATGGCAATTCGTAAGTGATTTGTTCATATATAGACCATAACGTTTCTATCATATGCTTTAATAACTGAGAAAGAAACTTTCTTATAGGTGCACAATTCGAAAACAGCAATGAAATTGGAGTTTTTTCCCGTTTAACAAACTCCTATTGTTTGGTTGCGATAGGAGGCTCAGAAAATTTCTACAGGTTTGTATGCTTTGATTTCTTGGTTCTATTTTTATTTAATAAATTTAACTATATCATAAAAATTATTATAGTGTATTTGAAAGTGAATTAAATGATATAGTTCCAGTAATTCATACATCAATTGCTGGTACTAGAATCATCGGTCGTTTAACTGCGGGTTTGTTTTCATTTCTTTTTATGTAATAAATTTTTTTTGGTCGATATGTTGTTAAACTAAACTGTAACTTTTGATCACACTAAAAGGTAATAAGAAAGGACTTCTCGTCCCAAACACGACGACAGATCAAGAACTTCAACACTTACGGAATTCACTTCCGGATTCTGTTCAGATTCAACGCATTGAAGAACGTCTTTCAGCATTAGGAAATGTTATTGCTTGTAACGATTATGTTGCTCTCGTTCATCCTGATGTTGATAAAGAAACTCAAGAAATTATTCGTGATGTACTAGAAGTGGAGGTGTTTACGCAAACAATCGCGGGTAATGTACTAGTTGGTAGTTATTGTGCAATAAGTAATCAAGGTGGATTGGTAAGAACGTGAATTTGGTTTATACTTTTGTCTTTCTTTTGACCTGGAATTCAAAAATTTTAATCTGATCATTTCATTATAGGTTCACCCACGTACGACAATTCAGGATCAAGATGAATTATCATCATTATTGCAAGTTCCTCTTGTGGTTTGTATTTATTTAATTTAATAATTAAATAACAGAATCATATATTGTATTATAAATTATTTACATTTGACATACATTTTCTGTATTGATTGATAGGCCGGGACGATAAATCGTGGATCTGATGTGGTTGGGGCAGGCCTTGTAGTGAATGATTGGTGCGCATTTGCAGGATTAGATAGTACCGCAACAGAATTATCTGTGGTTGAAAGTATTTTCAAATTACACGATGCACAACCGACGGCAATCGTCAAAGATTTGAGAGATTCGCTAGTAGATACTTATGCTTAAGCATGTGCTATTTAAAGTTTGTTTATAGCATATTGCACCAAAAATGAATTCTTGTTTTTTTTTAATGAACAATAGATTAAAAGAAAATTTTGAAACTTGATTGCCTTATAATTATTAAAGAATAACAAAATTGTAAAGAATTCATTTTATAGTGCAATCTTGCCATTCTGTAAGTTTAAATTTTATATTAATAGATTAGTCCATTATAATCGTAATATCAGACTTACCATTACTGTAGATTGCACATCTCATTTTATTTTAGTAATTTTTTATGTTTATTAAGTGTCAGTAATAAATAAATACGTAACTTTTTTTCTATATCGATACGTATACTTATCGTTATATTTTTGTGGTACGTAACGATTTTTAATTATATGATTCTTATACGTATTATAGTACATAGTAAATGGATTTGCAATCCGCAATAACGATAACGATAACGATAACCGATAAATACTACGTATAATACACATTTAAGTAGAAGTTCGTTCAACCTGTTATTACTGTATTAGAAAGAATTCAATTACCCAATCAAATTAATTATATAAATACATACGTACAAGGTAACGAAAATGATTAGATACCCTCTCGTAACTTTCTTTGTTAGAACACGATATTTTGAATTTCTCTCGAGACCAACAATTAATTTTTAAACATAAAATGGAAGTAGAATACTATAGGCAAAAGTTTAATGCTGATAATGATCTCAGCAATTCCATTGTTTTGTCAAAATATAGGAGTGCCGCTGATATTGTGAATGGTAAAAAAGAAAAATCGAGTTTAATTATTTGTAAAGTCATTTATTCTCGTACAGTTAACAAAAGAAAAACCTAAAATAATTTAATTATAGCTGTTTTGCCACAAATTATTAGTAGAATTGTACCAGGCGCGTCTGTTACCGAACTATGCAAATATGGTGACCAACTCATTTTTTCGCATGTATGCATTTGTAATATATTTTAAAAATATACTTGAAATAAAAGTTTCTCACATAATTCTATATAATAGACTTCCAAGGTATACAATAAAAATAAGGTTGAAAAGGGTGTAGCATTGCCGACAATGATTTGTGTAAATCATTATTTGCAATATTTTTCTCCTCTTCCTGAAAATGATGTTATTCTTCAACATGGAGACTTAGTTAAAATGTGCGTATAGAAAACCTTTTTTTTCTGAATCTTTTCTGAATAGCTTTATGCAAAATCTATAAAAAAAAAATCTCTTAATTATCAATTGGATTAGAGAATTGGGTATACATATTGATGGATATATTGCAAGCGCAGCACATACTACAATATTAAACCCAAATCCACAACAACCTATAGAAGGTACATTATTCAATCACTATATTTAAAAATATTTTAAATGTAAAAATGTAATTTATTTTTATTACTGTAAAGGTCGATCTGCTGATGTTGTTGCAGCTGCACATTTTGGTGCTGAAGTTGCTTTGAGATTATTGAAAGCTGGAAACAAGGTAAAAAAAAAAAATTTATTATTCTCAATAATACTGTAATAATGGTTATTTTATATTAATGTTTATAAATTTATTCGATATTATAGGGATCAGACATAGTCAAGGCTGTAAACCAGGTCGCAAATTATTTTAAATGCATACCGGTTGAAGGGTCTATTGTACAACAAGTTCGTCGTTATGTTCTTCAAGGAGAAAATTTTGCGTCTTTGAATCCAAATGATGGTTTTCCGGATGATGATTTTATGATTAATACAAATGAAGCTTATACTATCAATGTACTTATGAGTACTGGTATTGGTTTGGTGAGTATTAAATTTTAAAAGTTTAATATCCTTTTTATACTGCACATGACTTTATCATAATTGATTTTATTAAATCTTATGATTGTAGGTCAAGGAATCTGAATTTAAACCAACAATTTATCAGAGGAATGTTAATGAAGTATATAATTTAAAATTGAAAGCTGCTAGAACAGTATTTAAAAAAATTACCGACACTTATAGTGTCTTTCCATTCTCCATAAAGTGAGTTTTTTTTGTTCTATAAATTTATTTATAATTTATACCACTTTAATTCCATTTAATGTCATTTTTATAGTTCATTGGAAAGTACACGAGATCGTCTTGGAATTCCGGAATGTGCAACACATGGTCTGTTAAGGCCGTATTATGTCCTACTAGAACACACTGGCCAAGCGGTCGTTGCGCAATTTAAATTCACAGCTCTTGTTACGTCAAGCGGAAATGCTACGCGTATTACATCATCACCTCAATTACCATATGTTTCTTCTGAGTTGTCTATACCAACAGATTCGGACATTGCAAAGTTGTTAGCTTGTGAAGTTAAATCGGTGAAGGCAAAAAATATATGAAAATAACAGGCAATAACATAAGCGAAACGATAATTTATTATATCGTATATGTCGATTTTAACCAGACATGTGGAATTTTTTGATCTGCTGAAATTAAGCGTAATATGTTCCTTACTATGATTTATTTACTATGATTAAATCAAACCGCAATATAGTGCATCTTTTTTGAATATATATATATATATTAAATTGATCAAATAAATTAAATTGTAAAATGCAAATATTTATATTCCAAATATGTATTACGGTTTAAAGCGAATCTCGTTAAACAGCCAGGTATTTGAATTCAAATACGGTTTTATAAATGATAACAAATTAATACTGATTTGTAGTCAGTCATCTTTTTATATCGATGTTTCCGAATTATGAGAAATCTAAATAATCATTATGCGAATGTTGAATATCTTGAAACAGTTTAGAAAAATAGTATTATGGTGAAGTCATAATAAACCTTTTATTCTTTATTTGACCATAACGGAGTAATGAAACCATAACGGCAAGAACCCTCACGTCCCTAGCTCTTATAAATGTAATAACATGTGACGACAGATGCAACCCACCATCTAAAGCATAACACCATATACGTATTATATTGTACGAGTCGTAAAACAATTGATTACAATTGAATAATAAACAATGTTTATGGAGACTAACAATTAAATTACTATTTTATCTCAACAAATTCAAAACACCTCAACAATACAGATAAACAATCTAATAAATTATAGCTAGATCTAAATAAGCAAATCATTGTTGCTTCATTCACATATAATTCAACATTTAGGTAACCAAAGTACATCATTTGAAGTAAATCAAAAATTTAGATTACTACAAATTACCACTTGTTTCCCTTCTTTTTCTTCTTTTTATTCTTATTATCACCACCACTTTTTGGTTTTTGCGTAGGTGCAGGCGCAGGTTGTTCTGGTTGTGATGCAGCAACTGTCTCGGATGACGACAAATTACTTACACTAAAATTGAAAGAATATGATAAAACCTCAACATTAGCATTATTAAAAAAATAATTGTAATTAACAGTGAATAATAATAATAGTAATAAATTAAACCAAACCTCTTTCCGGCAATATTAGCACTTCCTGTACCTCCAATACCTCCACCAGCAACTGCAACTCCTTGTGATCCTTTCATTAATTGCTGTTTTCCTTTGCTGCGAAGTTTCTTATTATAAGATCGATCACGTTTTGGTAACCAACGTTCAGGATCTGGTGACACGTTTGGATCATAGTTTTTTGGTAGCAAGGGTTTACGCTTTTTTTTCTTTTTCGGGGTTGTCTTTGTTTGTTTCTCCCTAATTGTTAACAATTTTATTAATAAATAAATGAATAAGAATAAACCTTTTTAAATAAACATTTTTTAAGTGATAAAGCAATTACATTGTTTTGGTATCTGCTTTTTTGATATAACTTTTTTTCACGCCAGGTACAACTTTTTCAAGAGATTCTACATCAATTTCCATAGATGCAATAATATCTGGTAAAGAACTTTCGTATTTTTCAGCGAGATTAACATCATATTGAGAATATGATGCTACAAGTCCAGCTAATGCTTGAATGTCTAATGGGTCATCTTTTACAAGCTGTTCATAATCCTGAGCTGCTTCACGATACCGAGAGGTCTTGAGTTTAAAAGCGGCTGTTTGTTTAAGAATTGACCTACTTTCATCAGACTATCATAAATTAAAATATCAGCTTCTAATTAAATATTTGAACATTTAAGTTCTTTATGATTGTTAATAAGATTTAATACCATAACACCACTTTTCCAAAATGTGCTTGCTTGGTCTAAAGCTCGAACAGAATTTTCAGGTTTACCAACTTTCTCATAAAGCCATACTAACAATCCTACATAACCCGGCCTATATTTTTCTGCATCTTTAATTGACGATAAATAATTTTCAAACGTTTCTAAAGCACTTGTAGGATTGGATTGTAAAAGTTGAAGTTGTATAATAGCAAAATTA